AGCCCGACGACCCCTTTGCTGCTTCTAGTACCCACGAGGAAGGGGCCTTTGAGCGTATGGCGCAGAGCGTCGGTCGCGGGTCGGAAGCAAGCGCGAGGCGTGATCCTGGGGTGACTGCGGAAGTAGCAAAGATCATGGGCCAGATTAGCCAGATGGCAGCTCAGAATAAGAGTCCCTCGCGCATGACAACACCACTGCAGTCTGGCCGCAAGAGGCCGCGCTCGTCGACTGATGCGGCAGATAACGGCAGCGAGCGTAGGCGGTCTCGGTCGCTTGAGCGAGTGCAGCAGCAGCCAGCATCGGCTGGTCAGCGTCAGTTGTATCCTCCTCTTCGCCCTCAAAGGCCTGGCAGCGCGGTAGGAGCGGCAGCTTATGGCTCTGAAGACGAAACGTCGCGCGGCACTGTGGGAGTCAGTCCGCAGTCGACGTACAATCGGTCTCCTACGCTACAGCGCCAGCGCCAAGGAGGGTCGCAGTCCGTGGTGGTTCAGCGGTTGAAGCCGATCCAGCGAGCCGGCTCCACTAGTACTAGGACGCCCGAGCTAAAAAAGACACCGGCTCAGTTCTTTTCAAGCCTGCCACGGCCCATCAACGGCTCATCGTCGGTAGTTGGTCGTCGTGCAGCGAGCAGCGGCAGCCCCACGCCAGTGGCCAGCCTGTCGTCGCCACTGAAGCGCACCTTGTCCAGCAACAGCAACTGCGGAGCTCGGCCGCCCGTTGTGCCGCTCCGGCCGATACTCCCGGCTGATGACGAGAGCGAGGAAGTGCCGACCGAGCCTGAGCCCGAATCCGAGTCTGACGCAGAGCCTGTAGTGACGCCCGAGAACAAGGCGGGGGGGCGGCCGTTGCTCTTGGCGCAAGAGTCGATGGCTCGCAAGTCAGTGCGGTTCGGTCCGGCTCTGAGTCCCGAGGTGTTTGATGTTGGCGCGCCTCCGTCGACGCCCCTGAGGCGCGGTACGCCTATGCAGATGCCGGCTCGCGCGTCGAGTATTCTGCGCCGGACGTCGCCGACTCGCCCTCGGCCAGCGGTAGTGTCGCCTTCGCTGCTGCGCAGCCTGTTGACCCCCCGGCCTACGCGTCGACAGGCCATGCACCAGTATATCGCCAGTCTGTCGGCGCTCACAGAGAGCCTCCTAGCTGTCGACAAGCCACCGGCGGCAGTTGTGGGAGAAAGCGTTGCGAGCGGGGTGCCTGGCGGGGACAGCGCAGCTGATGAGGCATCGGCTCAAGGTGCATCGGCTCAAGGTGCTTTGGCTGCGGCCGATGAGGCAGCATCGGCTCAAGATACTTTGGCTGCGGCCGATGAAGCATCGGCTCAAGAAGCGCTGGTTGACATCGAGTCGGCGACAGTGCTGGGCGCTAGCCCCGCAGACCGCCGCCAGCGCAGACGCCGCAGCGTCAGGCTGGCAGCCAGCCACCAGCAACGCCGAGCGACCCTGGACAGCCCGCTGCGAGCCCCGCTGCAAAGGGCCAGCCCCTCGTCGTCATCGCCGTCTTTGCTTATCGTAAAGCGAGCAGTGGCCCAGAGCCGCTCCTATCTCGAGTCTCCCACCAAGCGCCCGCTGTCGATGGGTGCTCAGCGCAGGGAGCGCCGTCGCACTGCGCCGATCATTGGCACTGCTGATTTCAGCGCATCGATGGCGCAAATGGCTGCTGCGCTGGGCGAGGATGTGCCCACACTCTTTGCAAAGAAGATGCCGCCTGAAGAAGAGAGGGAAGCCGTCGATCCGATAATCGTAGAAGACGGCGTGGTGCTTGATGTCGCGCCGCTTGGCCTAGCCGACGCTATGCAGCAGCAGCAGCAGGCAGAGCAGCAGGTCGAGAGCGGGGCCACTGCGGCCGCAGAAGAGGCCTCTGTGCCATCGTCGAACGTCGTACTGCTCGAGCAGGCCGAGCGCCAGGCGCGGATCCAGGGCACTTCGCCCGAGCCGAGCCTTCTTGCCGGGGACTTTTCGCTGGGAGTGTCGTCCAAGCTGGCGGGGCTCTCTGTGACCACTCCCCCGCCGACGCCCATTACTCTCGCCAGCCCCCAGCAGGGCCGGAAGCACCGCCGCCAGACGATAGCCGACTTTGCTCCCACAACCGAAGCCGAGGAGCAGAGCGTTGATGAGATTCTGGCGCACAGGCAGCGCCTCAGGCGGATACAGGACCGCAAGCGCCGCCGCCAGACTGTCGCCGACCTCAACAAGCGCCGCTCGTCGTGGCGGGGCTGGATGCCCACCAGCAATCCAGTAGACTCGCCGCCCTCATCACCTGAGGCCCATCACGTGGCTGATTGGCCAACCCCTCGTGTGTCCATTAAAGGCAAGGAAGACAGCTCTTCTCTTGTCTCTCCAACCAACCCTCTTATGTATCCGCCTACTGCTTGGAACACCGAAGGAGAATCGCCGACTAAGCGCCGTCGTATGCGTGGCATTGCTGATATTGTCGTCTCGGTCTTGGGCATGAACACCAAGCCTGCGAATATTGAATTGGCTAACGACCCGAAACATGGAACTCGCCAGCCAGCGCCAGCTGCCGAGCCTAAGGCCTTTGCTTACCCGCCGAGGCCGGTGCCTATTGATGCTGGCTGGGAGAAGATTGACGTGGATAATGCCGAAGGGCGATTAGCTAAAGCAGAAGAGGCAGTCGCTGAGGAAGTAGTCGCTGAGGCGTCGCAGCAAGTCGAGTTGTACGCTGTCAGTGGGCCTGCTTCGGATATTGACACTGCCAGTTTGTTTAGTGCCCATCTGCCGACCGAGCAAGAACGAGTTGTTGTCGAAGAGAAAGTACTGCCGGCTGTTGTTGTTGAAGAGGAAGCACCGCCCGCTGTTGCTGTCGATGAGCCAGTCGTTACTAGTACCGTGCTTTCGCCGCCAACCACGCGAGGCAGAGCTAGTCGGAGTCAACGCCAGACATCAGAGTCTGTGTCTCCACCACCTCCACCACCACCACCCAACATTACAGCTGCTATGAAGCGCACTACTCCCAGACCACCACCAGCAACAGCAGCGTCTCTGTCTACTCGTCGCCGAGCTACCGCAACTACTACTGCTGCTGCTACTGCGCCAACTATGACGAGAAAGCGCAGGGCCGAGGACCCTGCTCCAGTAGCTCAACCTATCAAACGCGGACGTGGTCGTCCACCAGCCAATGGTATTCGGAAAACACCCGAGCCTAGTGTCATGTCACCACCTGCTACTCGCGCGTCTAAACGAAAGTCCCATGCAACATGACACTAGTAACATTTCTATATGCCGATCCGGATTAATTACCAACAATATTATATCCACCAATTGCTTGCATGACTAAATGTACACGAGCGGACTTGAGATTGGGGGTGGAGATGCATGTTTTAAATTGCCAAATTGTCGATCATTTCTTTTGTTGGTGTCCGAACAGCGAGGATATAAAATTTTCCTTTTTGTTACAAAGACCTCCCCCTTTTTTTCTTATTATGTGTAATACTCTCACTCACTTTTTTTTTTTTTTTTTGCGTACTCCATCTACTCTTCCATTTGCTATATTCGGAAAGAGTTGCAGCAGATAATCCGGTATTTTTTTTTTTCCTTTCACTTGTTGTCGCCTGTTTTTCTTCCTCCCCCCCCCGTTCTCTTAAAGAACCCGCTCACACTCCTCACACTCCTCACACTCCCTTTTCTCTTTCTCTCATCTTTTTTCTTTTTCTTTTTTCTTTCTCCACCGTATTATTATTATCATGTCTGCCTCGTTTACATACGTCAAAGAATCTTACATTTTTAACAAAAAGACTCTGGTCTATCATGGTTTGCTCGAAAACAGCTCACAAGCCGCCGACCTAGAACCAGTCTGGTCCATGCATATGGGAGATAACATCGCCTCGTTGAACTCCGGCCGCAACGGAGCCGTCATTATGACTGCAGCAATAGACCGTGTACGTAAGGACCAAGCACAATTCACTTATCAGGGCAAGATGACTAACGGCGGCTTTGACGTAACAAAATCTACATGGGCATTCCACGACTTTGACGGCAAGCGGTATGACTGGATGGCGGGTATAATGCAAAACTGCTGGAAATTGGAAGACTCTGAAGGCCACGTTGTTGCTCAGTATATTGGCATGTCGCGCGATTATAAAGTCAAAGCCACCCTCTCTTTTCAGACCAAGGTCAGCGAATCCCTCATCTCGTTAGTTCTTTTAACTACTAAACTTATCAACTATGAAGAAGCTTCAAAGCGTTAATACACTACTTAATTTATTTACTCTTTTTTGGCCGTAGTGTGTCTTCTGGTCGTGGTTTAGCTCCCAGTCCTAGTAAACTAGGTCGAGCACTATTTGTGATAACAGTACTGTTGTCAGTGTCTTCCTTCCATCCCATCCCACGCAACATGGCCGCTCCAAATGATTCTATAGGTACTCGCTCATACGTCTCTTCATCCACATCGCTGTCGTCGTCATCATCCTCCGCAGGTGGTGCTTGGCCAATACGACTACCCTGTTTATCGCGTGCTTTGGAAGTGGGCGCCATTACTTGTAACCCAAACTTTTCGCTCACTGTCTCTGGCTTTTTCATCCAATCGGCGTTACGCTTTACCGGTATCACTAGCTCTTCTTTAGTCTCGCCATTGCCGAGAACAACGTCGCCTTGTGCGTCTACTATCGCCACCGTTTTATTGTCGGTTGATTCGGAAGTCGGGTTGTCAAACCCGCGTACTGGCCTTCTCACCCCTTTAAAGTTTGCGCCACTACCAATCTGTGCCTTTCCCGTTCTTCGCATAATGAAATTAAAAAAAATATATATATATATATATAATAAAAGACAAAGGATATGTTTTTCGGCATTGTGTGATGGATGGTCATCTATGACTGGGGAGTTGGGGACTTATGGACATTGATAATTGCTACTTTTTTGATCAAATAACTATGTCTCTAACTTTTCAATTAAAGTGGAGCTCGGCTCATGATTCCTGCGGGGTGGTGACTGCACAAGAGAACAACAGTAAATATAGACATCGAGATGCAAATAAAAAATATTTCCACAAGCCTCCGCCGGGGTTCGAACCCGGATATCCGCTTAACTTCGGGCAATGAGATTCGCGACTTGTAGGCCTCGAACCCGCGTAAAGCCTAGTAGGAGAGCGGCACACTATCCATTATGTTACGGAGGCAGCACAAAAGTCTGGATTTTTCAAGCTAGAAGGCAGAACTATTGACAGCAAATTAATTTTAAGGGACATTTTATATCTCATCACTTTCTATGTGATATTATCATACTATGCCTGTCATATTATTCGACTTTACTTACGCTTTCACGCAAACCAAGACTGCCCACACTTTCTACACACGCTTGTTACTGGTGTCTAACCGGTGGTATCACTTTGACCCAGGCGAAAACGAGCTCAGCAAAAAGTTATCTTTCCAAAACTCTCCAAACGCTCAGGACAGCTGCACCAACTATACAATCAACCAACCTCAAACGCCCTACCACCTTCAACTTCTAATGTCTACTCTCCAAGCTTGCGAGATACATTGAGAGGAAACTGACTTTATTTGGATTAGGATAATTTGTTTTTTGTTTCTCTACTTTTACTGTTTCTTACGTTGCACAGCTCTTGTTGGATGGGTGGCTGGGAAAAAATTAGTCCAGTTCTTTATGAAAGAGCAAAGAGCCAAGCCTACGTTGTGGCGCACAATGCCAAGTTGATGTTGCACGTTGCATGTCACATGTGTTCGTCTTTTGTTAATATAGTCTTTGTATTGCGAGCTTGGTGAGAAGAAAAAAAAAATAGCTCCTGCAAGCCATGTTTGACATAGTCATTTTTATTATTATTATTCTCTTGCTCAGACTATGCCTGGGAGCTTGTGACATACAGGCTGTTATCGGCCGAAAATAAGCTCATGTTATGTGCTCTTGGCACAAAAGTCGTTTCCCCCATTTAAATACCTTAGTGTCTGACCGTTCTTTTCATCTCTCAAATACTCCATATCAAGCGCAAACATTTAACATTTCATCTATTCATTTGCCCGTCTTATAATGTATCGAGCACTGCTAGGCACTACTATAGTAGCGGCGGCATCCTTGCTTCTTGGCCACGCGGCGCGCGTAGTCCATGACTGGGATATTGGCTATTTAACAGTCAACCGGGATGGATACACAACTCGTCGCGCAATAGGCGTCAACGGTCAATTGCCATTCCCTCCTGTGTACGCCACCAAGGGCGACATACTAGCTATCAACGTACACAATTCGCTAGATTTGCCGACAACGATTCACGCGCACGGGCTATTTGAGAAGGGCGCCAGCTACATGGATGGTGCGGGCCTAATCACGCAATGCGGCATCCCGCCAGGCGAGAATTTCACGTACGAGATTAACGCGGACCAGGCAGGCACGTTTTGGATTCATGGCCACTACAGTCATCAGAACGTCGATGGTCTGCGTACGCCACTAGTCATTTATGACACTGAGCCTGCGGTTTTGGACTACGACGAGGACATACTTTTCTCGCTGGAAGAGTGGTATGTGAACGAATTTAATCCTCGTATGAAGGAGATACTCAACCCACTTGTCCCCTTCCCGCCACCGCCCTCCTTCCCTTACGGCCTAATTAACGGAATTAACGGCAACTACACTACACCAATTACATTTGTGCCGGGCAGAAAGTACCGCTTGCGCGTAGTCAATATGTCGTCTACCGAGTGGTTCAAGTTTAGTCTGCCCGGCCACCAGCTCCAGATTATCGAGGCTGATGGTATAGACTCGGTGCCACACACAGTCGACGGTTTGGATTTAGGCCCTGGACAGCGGTACTCGGCGGTAGTCACAGCACATGACACTGACACGTACAATTACCAGTACAATGCCACGCTATATGCCAACTTTGTCCCGTTCCTTCCCGGCATGAATCCCCGGTACTACCTGGGACTCATTGAGTATAAGCCAGGTGCGCCCATAAAGACATTTGCGCAGACCGACAACCGCCTCTTTGTATGGTCCGACGACATAGTGCTCAAGGCGTTGGACCGCCAGCCACTATTAACCGTGGACAAGACATTCGAGTGGACGATTAGCAGCAAAAAGTACTCGAACAACATAACGTTGTCTATTCTAGACGAGATTTCGTTCCAGCCGCCGCTTGTTCCTCCCCTCTTCTCAGCATTTACTATGGGCGATCTTGCGCTCAACAGTTCTATCTACGGTCCACAGACACGCGCACATGTATTGCGCCTTGGCGAAGTCGCTGAACTCATCTTACACAACCCAAGCACTCTGGATCACGCCATGCACTTACATGGCCATGCATTCCAAGTCACCGAGTACGGGCCCTCTGGAGTTCCACCCAACCCCAACGCACTGCCTATCCCAGTGAGAACGTTTTCGGATTGGCCCATGCGTCGCGATACATTTGTTGTCCCTTCATTCCATTATGTCAAGGTGCGTTTCTGTGCTGACAATCCTGGCGTGTGGATGTTCCACTGCCATATGGATGTCCACTTTGCAATGGGCATGGCTGTCACCTTTGTGGAGGCACCCGATATCTTGCAAAGGCAACAAACTATTCCGCAAGCACTTCTTGATATGTGCCATAGACAGGGTATTGTCACATCGGGGAATGGGGCGGGAAACTCGGGATTCAACCTTACTGGATTGCCTCCAATTCCTAACTAGAGGTGTTTTCTTTACTCATATATTTTGCTAACTAATTAACTATAAATAACTACTTGGAGGAGCATTACTTGTTGTTCATTATATGTAGTACATCTTTAGTCAATGAGTCTTTAGCCAAGCTTGGATGTCTCTTCCTAATCTTAGTCGTATATCGGATACTAAGTCTGCGCAAGCCGCGGAATAGCGACAAATCCAAGCCGTAGTCAATATAAAACGGTGAAAGGCGAATCACTAGAGACGATATAGGGCTGTCGGCAAATAACTCCAGGTCTCTAACGTGGATTGTATAGCGGGTTTCGAGGCGCGTTAGCACTGGAAACTTTGGCTTGCCATAATATGGCAAGCTGCCGAATCGTGACTGAAGTCCCTCCTGCACGTCTTCGAGGTACAGCTTGTTGCCGTCCTTCTTGTCGTCCTCGTTCGCGCGTCTCTCCACTTGCGAGTCGGAAGAATCAAACTCTTCCTGCTCTTCCAAATAGGCAAAGTAGCTTCTTCCAGGATTGTGACGCCTCCAATTATGACAATCTCGCTCCTCCCTCTCTTCATCGGATTCCGTAGGCAATATATTCTCCGGTCTGTGCCCAAGATGATCGTAGACACTCACGAAATCCAATACCAGCGACGGCAAGGAAGTGAATACCGGCGGAGGTAGCGAAGAGTTTGATCCTTTCTCGGTCTGATCCAAGTCGCCCAGATATTCGAAGAGACTCCATTCGTAGTTTGCTATCACGGGAGTCAGCTTCAGCTCAATGAGAGTATCAGCCACCATCATCGAAGCCGGAATCAGATATGTTTTGTCTGGTCCATCGATCTGCATACACTCGATATAGACGGGGAGAGCTCTTTCGCCCGTATCGTAGTCGTCGGTGAGCTTTGGCCAGCAGTCAGACTTGATACGCACAGCACGCAGCGACTCAGGTCTATGTATCCGCTCCTTAATAAGCCGCTCGACGAGTACACAGCCGTAGATCGTCTTGGAGTGGGGTCCGTAGAACTCGATTTCGCGTAGTGATGGTAGGGCCTGTGACAGAAAGTCATTGTGCCTCGATAGACTTGGGTTCTTGCTCCACCGTGGTGCTGGTCTGGGTCGTAGTACTAGAATCGTGCATCGACATGCGCAGACGCTCAACGCCGGCCCACTCGTACCCACCGAATCCAGCTAACAGCAGCTGGCGCAATATCTGGCCCGCGGTCTGCCCCATGACTTGCACGATAATTTGGACCTCGCACGCGTTAGCAGTCTGACCCATTTCACAAATCAGGCCAATGTTAGTATACAGGCTTGTGTCGACGTCATTTCGGGAAAGTCCTGCTGTGTTGAGCAATTCTTCGCCATCGTACTCGACCATGCTGACATCCTCGTCGCCCTCGTCCCCAATATCGTCGTCGTCACCATTTAAGTCCATACTGACGTCGTCGTTCTCACTCAAGATGCTATCTCCGTACTCACTCGTACTGACATCGTCGTCGTCGTCGTCGTCGTCATCGGTGCTCATGCTGCTATCGCTGTTCTCGCCCATGCTGACGTCATCTTCGATGCTTGTGTTCTCAGCATAGTCGTTGCTGTCATCCAATGGATCTGACGGACTGTCAATAATCACATACGCAGTGCGATAGAACAGCGGCAGCGCAATTGCACGCCACTCTCGGCTAACAGCGGCCACTCTCTGCAGGTAGCGCAAGTGCGCCAGCAGCTCGTTTGGCGAGCAGCCTCGCCTCGGAACTGGCGATAGATATTCAAAGACCAGCCGTAGAACATTATCGGGACTCCAGGTCGGTATATTGCTACGCGATAGAACGAGTTCCGGGAATCTGATGTTTGCGTTCCAACAGCGTTTGCCTCCGGCGTAGCTGTGCGTGCTTCCTAGCCTCCACAATTTCTCTGATCCGCTGCTCTTTCTTAAGCTTGGCTTCACGCTGCTGCTGCTGCATCCACTCCAGGTTCTTCCGTTTCCAGGTCTCCGGATCTTCTGGTAGGCGCAGCCGAAGCACCTCCTTTGCGGCCGTCATATCGTCCCACTGCTGCTGCCACTTTTGTCTCTCCTTGGGAGTCTGGAGGAGATCGCGCTGACTATTTAGCCAATTTTCCCAACCTTTGTCTTTTTCCCTCCTTCCACGGGTTTGGTAAATTCATGTTTGTAAAAAGGTGAAATGAGCGCAAAAAATAAATATTTAAATTGACAAGCGACAAAAAAAAGAAAAGAAAAAGAGAGCCGACACTGCTGTCGTAACCTCATCTAACGTTACATATCAATAACACGGCTCTTACTGCGCTCATAGAATCAACAAAGTGTGACCCGATTGTGTTTACTTTGATCAAGACAAGATTGTCCATGTGCTCATGTCATCGTCAGGTGGCTCGTATTTTCTTGTCTTACTTTTTTTGCTTTGCATTTTTTGTCTTTCCTTTTTAGCAGCAATGTTTAGCTCATCGCCATTTCAATTCCTCCCACCGCATATTGTCCGGCTCATAGTCAACTATGTTGTTGGCAGCAGTCG